ATGTGTTTATTAGGATTGTGTAAGTTTTGTACACTGCGGGCCTAAGAAATATAATTATGTTTTTTTTTTGTTGTTGTTAAATTTTCTGGTGGGGTTATTTTGAGAGGCTTGGGAGTTAATACACGGAAAGCACTGGAACAGAGCCTGGCACTCGACTCGTGTTCAGTCGTCTTCATCAATGTCCCCAGGCCTTCAACAACACCTACCTCTTCTATGGCGCATACCGGGCAGGGCCGGAGAGCAGCTCAGCATACAGCATCCGCCTGGCCTACCTCCTTAGCCCACTGGCCTGCCTGCTCCTCTGCTTCTGTGGGACTCTGCGGCGGTGAGAGCGGGGCCCGTTCCTTCACCCCTTCTGGAGGGTCTTCCCTGATCACCCCTCCCTTGGCAGGGTACACCCCAAGTTGGCAGGAAGGCCCTGGCCCCTGTTCGGTAAGGCTCATCAATGGTCCTTCAGCCTGAGTTTATGTGTCCCTGCTGCAGATCACAGGAGAAGGGCCACTGCCCCTATATCCCCACCCCCCACTCACCAAGGCCTGCACCAGGGGTTGCTGGGGACTTCCCAACCCAGACCCAGAGCCAAGCTGAGGCTGAGACTGGAGGGCAGTGGTGCCCCTCCCCCAGCAGCCCCTGGCTCCTGCCTCCCCCCCAGGATGATGAAGGGGCTGCCACGGAAGCCATTCCTGGGCCAAGACTACAGGGTGCCCCTCAGCTCCAAGGTCTTCTCCTCCTGGGACTTCTGCATCCGCGTGCAGGAAGCGGCCATTATCAAGAAGCATGAGATCAGCAACGAGTTCAAGGTGTGTGCGAGTGTGACTGTGAGAGCGTGCAAGTGTGCATGTGAATGCGTGACTGTGAGATCGTCATGACTGTGAGTGTGTGTGCATGGCTGAGCAGTGTGCAAGTGTGTGCGTGAATGCGTGATTGTGAGAGCGTCGTGACTGTGTGTATGAGTGTGTGCATGGCTGAGCAGTGTGCAAGTGTGCGTGTGAATGCGTGACTGTGAGAGCATTGTGACCGTGTGTATAAGTGTGTGTGTGCGTGGCTGAGCGGTGTGCAAGTGTGCGTGTGAACGTGTGACTGCGAGAGCGTCGTGACTGTGTGTATGAGTGTGTGTGCATGGCTGAGCGGTGTGTAAGTGTGCATGTGAACGTGTGACTGCGAGAGCGTCGTGACCGTGTGTATGAGTGTGTGTGCATGGCTGAGCGGTGTGTAAGTGTGCGTGTGAACGTGTGACTGTGAGAGCATCGTGACCATGTGTATGAGTGTGTGTGTGTGTGGCTGGGTGAACTGGGTGTCCTCACGATGACCCCCTAAGCTAAGGAGCCAAATGGGATAGACTGCTGAAGTAGCAGTGGACAAGAGCACGGAAAGAGCTGATGCTGCAACCCTTCCTGGGAGGGCTGCATGCTGTGATTGTTTTGCCTAACAGCAACATTTTGACCTAAGCTAGGCTGTCAAGAACTGATGGTAACAGCCATACCCGAGAAAATGAGAAAAGATAGTTACACAAGAACTCTTCATGACCTCCACCCCCACCCATTGTTTTTTGTTCTCTTGCACCTGTGAGTTTCTATAAAAGGAGCTTATTTCCCTCATTAAACGGGGCTTGATCAGACTTCTGTCTTGCTCCCTTCCTTTGTCTCTTGTCCTACCCACTCCCCCTTCCAGGTTCCATAGACTGACTCCCAATTCCCGCGGGTCAGGACAGCCGGGCAGTGTGCAAGTGTGCGTGTGAACAAGTGGGTGATGGTGAGTGTGCATAAGAGTGTGTGGATCAGTGTCTGTGAGTGTGAGCAAGTGTGAAAGCACATGGGACTGTGTGCGAGTGTAAGAACACATGAACGTGTGTCTGTGTGTGAGTGTGTGGGTGGTTGTTACCATGTGAGTGTGAATGGCTGAGTGTGACAGTGTTTCACAGCCCCCTTCCCCTTCCACGCCCACCCAGCCCGGGCCAGTCCTAACCCTAACTCTGTCCCCACCCTCTGGGCAGGTGGAGCTGGAGGAGGGACGCCGCTTGCAGCTGGCGCAGCAGCAGTCCCGGGCCCAGAAGGCCTGCCACCTGCTCGCCTACCTGCGTGTCAACGTCCTCATCGGGCTCCTGGTGGTCGGGGCCATCAGCGCCATCTTCTGGGCCACCAAGTACTCACAGGACAATAAGGAGGTGCCAGGCGATTGTATTAATTTAATCCTGGCCAGGACAGTGGGAGGAGACGGGATGATACCACTTTGCAGATGAAGAAACTGAGGCTCAGAGAGGTTAAAGTGGCTATAACCACAAGGTCGCAGACAGGTCAGACTGGCTCTAACTGCACAAATCCCTTCTGACTGCCACGCTGCCACTAGGAATAATGTGTGGGTTTCCGGGTCCTGGGCCTGCACAGAGTTACACTTTAGGGAGCCTTGCAGGGTGGGGGAGCCAGCAGGGGCCCTCCCTCCAGCCCGTGGGTTCCCCTGACCTGCTTATCCCTGCAGGAGTCCCTGTTTGTACTGCTCCAGTACCTGCCTCCAGGGGTCATCGCCCTGGTCAACTTCCTGGGAGCCCTGCTGTTTGCATTCCTGGTCCAGCTAGAGAACTTCCCTCCCAACACTGAGGTCAACCTCACCCTTATCTGGTGAGCGCCACTCTTGGGAGTCGGGGGGGACAAGGGGACACGTGTGAGGAGCGTGTCTCCCGCTGCTCCATCTTTGTTGTCGCATGGTCCCAAGCTGGGAGGCTCCCCTCTTCACTATTGCACCAAAGGGAAGGCAGGCAGGTGCTTCCAGAACATGAGGCACTGGTCTGAGGTTTTCCAGTCCCCTACCTCCAAAGGAAGCCACCAGTCCAGACCAAGCACCAGCCATTCAGAGGGGCTAGCGACTGTTTTGCCAGGGGGCGTTGGGAACCAGCTTTGCACACTTAGGAAAACCAGCAACACAGGACACACACAGCTCCCACGTACTCTGAGGGTTGTACCTTAGCAACTCTCATGTGACCTGTAAAGTCTGGACCATCCTCATCCCCATCTGACAGAGGAGGAAACAGGTTCACAGGGGTGAAGGGCCCCAACCAAGTTCATGATGCCTGCTGGGTGAAGGTTCAAACACGAGCCATCCTGCACTCCCAGGCTCTACCGTTTCCCGTCTCAGCACTTAGGTTCTGTCTTGACCCCTACCCCTCTCCAAACATCCCCCCCTCAAAATCCTCATCTACCACCGCCCCCCCTGAGCTCCAGACGGCTTCTCTCTCCTCCTGCCACCCTCACCCCCCACGGCCCTACCTGCTTTTCCTTCTGCTTCTTCCAACACCACTGTGTTTGGTTTACTGTGAAACTTTATTTTTTGAATAGGTTATAACACATGGTAAAAAATTCAAAATGCTCAAAAGGATGGAAAATTTAAAAATAGGCCCCACCCAACTCTGCCTCCTAGCAACCCTCAACAGGGGAGCCACTGTTCCCCGCCGTTCCCTAGCCACACATCAGCATGAGGAATGTCCACCTTCACAGGTAACCATGCGATGGTTCAGTGTAGGCCATTGCACCCGCGGTCCGGTTAGGTGTCATTCAGCGAGTATACATGGCACACGTTTCTGACGCACCAGAGACTGTGAGCGGGCTAGGGCGCTAACGGGCAGTAGAAAGAAGGAAGATCTTACCTGTAGTTAGGATCCCAAAAGGTCCATGGGTTTCTCTACTGCAGGGCTTGTCATATGTGAACCTCCAAGCTGGGCGTGGGGGACGATGGCTGGACTGTGTGTGCCCTTTTCCCACGAACCATCTGGAGACTCAGATTCTGGGAACACACTTTGGGAAACATTGCCACAGACCGAGCAGGTTGGAAGGAGGCTAGGCCCAGGACACATGATCTCACTCAGACATCAGCCACACCTGTAACCTGGGCCGAGGCCGGTGCCCCCATACCTGGGCCCTCCTGCTGACACAGTCCCCGCCTCCCAGGTGTGTGGTGCTGAAGCTGACCAGCCTGGGGATGTACTCCTTCTCACTGGGTCAGACCGTGCTGTGCATCGGCAGAAACAAGACCAGCTGTGAGTCCTACGGCTACGACGCATGTGACTACCAGGTGGCTAGCAGCCCAGCCAGGGCCTGTCCCTCTTTTCCGTCTCTGCAAAGCCCCACCTCGAACCACACAGAGTCCTGGCCCTGCCCCTTTGGTCTCCTTGTCCCCTTCTCACCTTTGTGAGAAGCTGGGAGCAGAGCTGCCCATACAGCAGCACACCTCCAGGGGGCGCCCTGTACCACTGTGCAGCGTGGCAGCTCTGGCTGTGGGGTTCTCTAATCTTATCCTCGAGGCCCAGGTTTCAACTTAGCAATCCTATCAGACTCCAGGCATGGTTTCCAGACCACAGAGACCCCCCCCAACATGGGTGGGTGAAGGAAGGGAAGGGTGGGGCCGTGGGGTGACAGTACCCTCCCTCTGCACCCCAGTGCTGGGAGAACTCGGTGGGGGAGGAGCTGTACAAGCTGAGCCTCTTCAACTTCCTCCTGACGGTGGCCTCCGCCTTCCTCGTCAGCCTGCCTCGGAGGTGAGCCATGGGGGGACGCCATGGGAGGATGCCGGAGATGTGGCTACGTTTGGGGATGGCCTAAGGCCACGGCCAAGGGTGAGCCGGGTCCACACGTATGTTCACGTGAGTGAGTGCGACGGTCTCTATGACCAATGTGGTCCACGCATCCGTCTCACATGGCTGGTGTCTGCACCTTTCCCACCCCCAGGCTGCTGGTGGAGCGGTTCTCAGGACGGTTCTGGTCCTGGTTGGACTGGGAGGAGTTCCTGGTGCCCAAGAACGTGCTGGACATCGTGGCGGGGCAGACAGTCACCTGGATGGGCCTCTTCTACTGCCCCCTGCTGCCCCTGCTCAACAGCGTCTTCATTTTCCTCACCTTCTACATCAAGAAGGTGAAGGCTTGGGGGCTGGCAGGGGGCGTGGGGAGGTGGGGCTGGGGGCACCGGCAGCTTCTGCACTGAGGAATCCTGTGTCATTGCTCCTTCTCCCAGTACACCCTCCTGAGTAACTCCAGGGCGTCCCCGCGGCTCTTCCGGGCCTCCAGCTCCACCTTCTTCTTCCAGCTGGTGCTCCTCCTGGGCCTGCTCCTGGCCGCGGTGCCCCTGGGCTATGTGGTCAGCAGGTGAGGGGAGGTCTGGAGAGGGGCTGGAGGCTGGCGGGGCAGCTCCTCACCTGGGGCCCTGACCCCGGCCCCCTCTGGCCGTCTCTCCCCAGCATCCACTCCTCCTGGGACTGTGGCCTCTTCACCAACTACTCGGCCCCCTGGCAGGTGGTTTCAGAGCTGGTGGCCCTCCGGCTCCCATCCACCGGCCAGCGTGCCCTCCACTACCTCGGCTCCCACGCCTTCAGCCTCCCCCTCCTCATCCTGCTCAGGTGCTTCTCAGGGCAGCAGGGGCCAAGGGAGGGGGCTCCTGGGAGGGGAGGGGTCCTTTCTTCCATAGGGGTGGTGTAGGCCTGGGCACCCTCAGCCAGTCTCATGGGATCCAAGAGCCAGAGAACGAGCATCAGAGAACCGGGAGACCAGGGGACTGGGCATGAGCCCCAAAGGCAGCTGGCCTGGGGGACTCAGGTGCCTCACCTGTAAAGCAGGCAACTTCTGGGCCGGCCCATGGCTCACTTGGGAGAGCGTGGTGCTGACAACACCGAGTCAAGGGTTAAGGTCCCCTTACTGGTTATCTTTAAAAAAAAATAAAGCTGGCCACCTTCCAGGATGTGGTGGGGAGTGCACGACCACTGGCGAGTGCAGGGACCCTCCAAACCCGCCACTGCTGCGTGATGGGTATTGCCATGCTAGAGAGGGGCTGAGGGCCCACCTGCAGATAAAGCGTGTGCTGGAGCGGGAGGTCAGGAGCAGGCACCGGTGGGTGGTCCACAGGGTGTCTGACTCGAATCCTCGTCTGCCCCAAGCCTTGTCCTGACCGTGGGCGTCTCGCAGTCCCAGGCCAATGCGAGGGCCATCCATGCGCTCCGGAAGCAGCTGGTGTGGGTGAGTGTCCGCTGGGCTGGGGAGGGGACACCGACCCTAGGACAGAGCCTTTGCAGAGTGTGTGGCCTCATGCCTGGGACAGGCCTGAGTAGGTCGTTTTCTTCCCCTCGTGGGGGACGTGGCCTCACGCTGGGGATAAGGACAAGGGCGGGGACCAGGTTCCTCAGATGTGGCCTCAGGCCCGGAGCCAGACTCCAGGACGGATAAAAATATGGCCTTTTAGGCTTGGGGACGGGGACTTGAGAGAGCTGAAGGAAGGACCTTGACGGAGACGCGGGCGTGGCCTCGAGCTGCGAGCCGTTCTCTGGTGGGGTCGTGGTGGGGCGTGGCCTGAGCTGGGGACGGGAACCTGAAAGGTCGCAGCCTGAAGGTGGGGCCTCTGGTGGGGGCGGGCCCCG